CTTCCCTGCTACAACTTGGCTCTTGTAAAAGAAGATGAATGAGCTGGTGCACGAGGAAGGGGATGATGATTACAAGATTTCAAGCAATGAGATTTTTAGCATGGCTCTTGAATCTCAGAAGGTCCATATTAGACCTGTCCATCTTGACAATGACAACGAGCTCGTCCGTCACCCACATGTGGAATGGAGCGCCCTTCCTATTGACTAATGCAAGGTCAATACTGATGAATCAGCCTTCATAATCCTAGTGATGCTTCTATCAATGGGCTTATTTGTAATAGCCAGGATAAAAGACTTCAAGTTTGATTGGGGGAAAGAAATCAGAAAGTTCGTCATGTAAGTGGACTTCCAAAATGTTTGTCAGCTCTTTCATCATGCTAGAAGCAAGAGCGCAACTAGCACAAGGGCTGAGAGCCAAATCAGAGAGTATCTTATACGTGACTGGACATTCAGATTTCTGACATCCTCCGTGAAGGTAATACGTGCACCGACCGTCTAGTCCATTGGGCCCATAACTCCTCTGAGGGTATCAGTAGAGTGACTGAGGCTTCAGACAATCTTATCACATATATATGGATAATTGTGACATTACCTAAGCTCGCCTCATAGAGTATTAGTTAGTTCCGCGTTTTTTTTTTTGTTGTTTTTATTTTCTGTTTGTGACCAAAAAATTGGTGAAAGTAAGTTTAAAAACTCATGTTTTACTATTATGTATAATTCTAACAATTCACAAATAAATCCTAGTAATTAGTTTTGATTGGTTTATAAACATCTCTAAATAATAAATTGACTAGTTTTTTTTGTTTAGTTTTATGTTAGTTTATGAATATAGAATACTTTGAGAAAATCTTTTTAAATTTATTGCTCTATTTTAAGAGAGAAATGTAACTCTATTATAAAGGGATAATATGAAAAAAGTATAAGGGCAAAATGGGAGAACTTAAGGAGTTATATTTGAAGGAGATATCATAGACACAATGGTCTAGAGCAGATCGTCTAAAGTAGGAAGATAAAAATATCCATTTATTCATTCTATTGCAACTCAAAGAAGGCCATGAAACTTCATTTGGTGGTTGAGGGATGAAATTGGGAGGTGGGTGATTGAGTAGAATGATCGAGGCTATGTTTATAGGAGACTTTATGTTGTGTTTAAGAGTGGGTCAGAAGCCCATATTCATGAGGTAGAGATGGTAGTGAAGCCCAAAGTAAGTGGGGAGATGAACACACAATTGTTGGAGTTGTACTCGATGATGATGTTCATACTGCACTATCACAAATGCACCCTACTAAGGCACCTGATCCCAATGGTATGCCCCTATATTTTTTTGAAAATTTTGGCATATATTTAACTATGATGTTATCACTCATGTTCTTTAAGTTTTAAACACTAATGTCTCCTTTACTAGTATAAATCAGACTTTTAGTACTTTACTTTCAAAAATATTTGGTCCTAAGTCTCTATTAGATTTACATCTAATAACTTTGTATAATGTGGTCATGAATTGGCTACAAAATACATAGTAAACTATTTCAAAATTTCATTGCTAATAACGTGCATGTTTCACAAACTACTTTCATTCTTGATAGGCGTATTATAGATAATGCATTGATTGCTTTTGAATTATTCCACCACATGAAAAAAAATTAATGCTCAAGACATAATTCTTTTGCATTTAAAATAGATATCAATAAGGCTTATGATAGTCTCTTAAAACTTTTTAAAGTGTTTGCTTGTTCAACTAGATTTCCATTCTAGGTTCATTTTCTTGATTATGTCATGCATTACAATTATTAATTATTCTATTTTTATTTGTGAAAATTCTCGTGAGTGATCCAACTTGAGAGGGGTCTCTGACAGGGTAAACCTCTCTCTCTTTATCTATTTATTTTACGTCCAAAGACATTTTTAACTATATTAAAAAAAAAACAGGAGACGTGATATTCATGGTTTGGAGAGTGCGAGAGTGACGCCCTACATATCCCATTTGTTATTTGTTGATGACAATTTGATCTTCAGGCATATGCCACACAAGTGTAAATCCAAAGTTCAAGATATTTTGATGAAGTACATTGTTGCCTTGGGGCAATTTATTAATTTTCACAAGTTTGCAATCGCATTCTCCAAATGAATTATTGTATTGATGAGGCAATAATTGGGGGAGATTTTAGGTGTACAATTGGTTGATATGTATGAAAGGTACTT